ATTTTAGGGAATGAGCAAAACAGAAGAAACCGAATTTTGTTTAAAGTTTAATAATTTGAAATTGAGTGATGCAGTGAAAGAAACAAAAAAACGATTTGGTAGCCTTGTCAGTCAAGTGCAAGCGGATGCGTTTGAAAAAACAGAATCCCAAGCTGGTGGCTCATCTGCCATTGTACATCAAGAAACAGCTCAACAATTAGATTATCAAAACAGAAGTGGGCAACTGGAAACAGATGCTACTAAGAGTAAGTTGATTTTTACTAAAATTCATTTTATATTAAATCAACTTGCATAACAGTTTATGCTATTTTGACTTCACCGATTCATATATCTATGTACAAATAAAATAAACAGAACATTTTTTTTAATAGAGATACTTCTACTTCAAATTGTCTAAGGTCATCAAAAAATTGTCAAATTTCGTCAATAAATGTCAGTGTCGTTGCCTTCTGGTTGGCTACTATGAACATTTTTAAGAAGTGCATTTAAAATAACGCTTTATTAGTCCCTGTTCGAATGCAGACCAAAAACGAGGACTTATGTATTGACCCCCATGTGTCCGTGCGTCCAGACCTGTATCTTAGACATGCCTGGACCAATTACATTCAAACTTCACACATACATCATACATACGGTAATATTATACATCACATGCACATCAATTTGTTTCATGATCTGATTCAAGATGGCAGAATGGCGGCCATTTTTTTACTTTAGATGTACAGATGTATTGATTTGATCATCCAATTCAAAATGGCCAAATGGTGGCCATTTTTGTGCTAAAAATTCACCAAAAATCAAGCATATCTAGCATTCTGGAACCGGATATCAGGCATTTATGGTTGGATTTCGTTCAAACTTGGTACATACATTAGACATTATTGGTCCTTGCTGCACGTCATTTTGTTTTTTCAGACTTTAATAATTCAAAATGACTGTCTGGCGGCCATTTTGTTTTAACGAATGTGTTTCTAGAGCCATGTGTCTAACATGCTTTTACTGTTTATGTTCAAATTTTATATATTTATTTTATATTATGATATCTATGATACATTATGTCATAGATATAAAATGTATTCAAAATGGCCGACTGGTGGCCAATTTACTACGTTCAATTACCCACCATAGACTCCGATCAGTCAAAATGACTATTTTGAACTGTAGGCATTAATCAGCGATTCTGCCGGTGACGTAGAGATAGAATCTAGGTCAGGGGAAGCCCCATGACCCCTAGATTCTCTTTCCCTTACGTCACTGACCACGTGACCGGGATCCATATGGCAACGCCATTAACGGCTGTACAATCACTCTTCTTTCATCTCCGCCTCGTCAGGAATGATTCTGAGCGGATCTGCCTGGCTCTTTTGCTTTTTCCTGTACGGCTTTCTAGCTTGGGTTGTTGCCGCTGGGCGGCATTCGACATTCTTACTGGTAGGATAAGTTTTTCTTGTCTTCTTTACCCTCGTGTCGTTTTCCCCTTTGTGTGTAATTTTTTTTTTCCACAACAAAGAAATTAAAACCCGGCGCCACTACGTAACCACTCGTGTACCAGGACGTCGAGTAGGAGGCGCGATGGTGGACGTACCGATATTTTTTCTTGGTCTTCCCCCACTGAACGGAGGGCATCCTCACAGTCTGTTTTTTCAGGCGGTAGTTTACCTGATTTTACCGGCTACAGTGAGGCTGTGCCGCTGGAGGCTTTCCTTCTATGGGGCCTGTTGCGGGTCCCTTTGTGGACCCTTTCTCGCACGGTGCCGGGTTTGCCTCTGAGTTGAGGGCTTTGGTCGAAGGACTGTCGAGGCAATTGTGTCCCTGGCAGGCCGGGTAGATCAGACACAGTCTCCACTGCGGCCCCTTGGTGGGCAAGCAGGAAGAAACACAAAAGCATGTTTGCATTCAAACATGTCTCTTCCGGGGAACCCCTGTTTCCAGCCGCGGCTCTCCCACTAATTTTGGTGAGGCCGAGGCTCAGGCTAATTGCACCGGGTCTCCTCTGGAGCCTCGGGCACTGAATGCCAATGGGATGCTGGCTTGGGATGCGGGTTTTCAGAATAGGGCACACGTTGACCCCCCCTACTTTCAGCCAGCCAGGGTTTGTTGCACAGTAACGGTACAACGGTAACAAATTTATCCTTGTGTCCGGTCTCCGCAGTGGGTTTTGACTCCCTTCTCACCGACCCACGGATGTTTCCAGAGGAAACCGACCCTATCATGAGACGCACAGTCGAACACGCTCCCTCTTACATATTTAAAGTGAAAGGAGACGCAGTTCGCTCATGTCTGATACAGCCGATACTCCGAGCGGTCCCTCAGAGTCTTCCATGTGTAATGACTCACTGAGCCACGCTTTTGGGGTGATGCGGAGTATCATCGATCCCAGTGATGTAAATACCCCCAGCGGGGGAAGCATGTGGTGACATCCGGTTACGGGTTACCGCTGTAATCTCCATCTCCCCCGTCAGTGTCTCCCCTGTTGGGCACTGCCGCACTACGCAGTCGCCCGGTATGACTCTGGTAACTGATGCCTCCTTCCAAGGTTGGGGAGCGCATCTACTGGACAAACAAGTCCAAGGATATGGCCCCTGCATTAGTTTCGGGACTACCATATCAACTGGCTTGAACTGAAAGCAGTATACTTAGCACAACCATGCTATCTACCCGTAGTTCTAGACCACAGAGTCCTGCTCCGCAAAGGCAACGAAGTGGTGGTCTCTTTCAAGAAGGAGGGGGGGACGTGTTCCTCATCGTTGTCAGTCCAAGCAAAGCCAATCCTCCTTTGGTGCCTGCAATACAATGTGGAGCTAACCGCACACCACCTTCCAGGGGTGAGGAATAGTCTGGCAGGCGACCTTTCAGGGCGGCTCCGTCTATAGAACATGGGGTGGCTGATACAAGCCTCCAGGCTGTTTGGACTGTGGGACGGTCCAAGGTTAGACCGGTTTGCCACACTCCGGAACGCCAAGCTCCCGACGTACGTAACACTCCTGCCAACTAAAGGAGCCTGGGCCAGGGTCGCTTTGCTAACCCAAGGACCCATTTTGTTGTGTACGCCTTTCCCCCCTTCCCGCTAGTTCACCGGGCACCGAAGAAAACTTTGACAGGTGCACACCTGCATATTATTATTGGTCGCACCTAATTGGCCAAACAAGGCCTAGTTTCCACTTCTGTCGGAAACACCAGTAGTGCTTCTGGACTTACCGGATCTGCCATCCCAACCAGACGGCACACTACCAACAAGCCCAGCAGGTATCACTTACACGCTCTCATTAGACCCGCACATACGAAAGCTTTATCTGAGCGGGCTGCCAACGTCCTGGCCAGGGCGAACAGGGATTCCACCAATGCAGCCTACACTTCTAGGCTGCGAGCATACACTGATTGGTGTAGCCGAAGGGAGATTGATCCATGCCATCCCTCTATTGGCCAGGTAGCAGGCTCCTTCGTCCACCTGTTTGACGAAGTGGGTTTGTCCTACGTAGCGATCGTTGGCTACAAGTCGGCCTTGTCCCCACCATTGAGAACGTACGGGAACAAGACTAGCCTTTTGTCCTATTATTAGGAAACTATTTACTGCTTTCTAGACGCCAAGACCCCATACAAGGGAACCGCCCAACTCGGACTTGTTGGCTGTGTTGTCTGCTCTAAGCAGACTGCCCTTTGAGCCTCTCTGATCAGCACCACTCAAATTTTTCGACGTGGAAAATAGTCTTCCTACTGGCCCTCGCCTCAGGTAGGCGTCGACCAGAGCTGGGGGCATTGTCCTTCTCGGATGATGTTGCGCCGTTATGGACAATCAAGTTGTGCGAAAGACACGAATCGGGTTTCTCGCCTAGAACAAAATTCCCTGACACGATCCTCACTTGATCGTCATCCTTCGGCTGTCAAATTTTGTCTGCCCGGAGGGTCAGAAGGAATTGCTTCTCTGCCCGGTTCAAGCACGGAGTTCCTACCAAACCGTACTAAGGATTCAGAACGGGGTGCAAGGCACATGTCTTTGTGTTACGGCCCAGGCAGGCAGGATAAGCCGGCCTCCCCCAACTTCCATAACCAGGTGGTTTACTGTGACTGTATTAGAGATCTATAATACTTTAACTTCCTCGACACAGAGCTTGCAGAGACACCAAGTACGAGCGCATGAGGTCTGTGCGATTGCCAACTCACTAGTGCTAGCGTCAGGTGCCCCCCTCGAGCATACACAGAGGGCAGGCTTCTGAAGAACGCACAACGTCTTTATCAACTACCACCTAACAGACACTGAATCCATTGAGGAAGGTTACTTTAGGTTGGGTCCCGTCGTAGAGGGTCAGTCTTGGTTTGCTGACCCAGCCCGAACGACCACAAAGGTCCCTGCGCATAGGCAATAAGTCAATCTCGGCATTTTATGCGGACAGATTTCTCTACGTCATCACTCCCCTGAAAGCTCTCAGGTCCCGCTTTGCGGCCTATGCCCTCATGCAAAACTGTTTCGGTCTTTACTTCGAAAGCTTACTACCCCCAGAATTGAGTTGGGGTCTACCTTTCTCGGGCACACCGAACCCTGTCACCGTAGCAGCATTTTGGCTTCTGGCTCTTGGGACAGCACAGGCAAGGTAAGACACCACCCTTTTTTGGGCCTTAACCAGGGTGTTGAGTGGTTATTTTATTTCATCCCGGACTTTCATCATTTTTCTGTTTGCTTGGAAAACCCGCCACCCGCCATCGGCGTCTGACTCTGCCTACAGTTCAAAATAGTCATTTTGCCTGACCGGAGTCTATGGTGGGTAATTGAACGTAGTGAATTTAGGCAGAGGGTTTTCCGAACCCACCTATTCACATAGTTCATACCCACTATAGACTCCGGGTCACCCCCAATCACCCCACTCTTTCTGTTGCGTTGGTCTAAGTCCTTGAGGCGGAGAGAATGGAACCAGAGTGTACAGCGTTAATGGTGCTGCCATATGGCCTCGTTCACGTGGTTCGTGACGTAGGGGAAAGAGAATCTTGGGGTCATGGGCTTCCCCTAACTTAGATTCTATCTCTCCGTCACCGGCAGAATCGCTGATTAATGCCTACAGTTCGAAATAGTCATTTTGACTGACCGGAGTCTATGGTGGATATGAACTATGTGAATAGGCGAGTTCGGAGAACCCTCTGCCTAATTTAGTTTTAATTAATGTTTTTTTCAGAGCAATATCTCCCAATATGAACAAGCACTCATTTGATGATCAGACTGAATGTCAATCATTTTAATGTTAAAAAAATTATCATAATTAAGCATCAGTTTCTGGATCCATATGACTGACATGTTTATTTTCCAACTATTTTACTATAAACAAAACTATATATCTTAAATTTGATAACTAGCAGGGACTGTGCCATGTATGGCTTGTTTTATTTGAATTTATTTTTTATTTATTGGCAGTTTATAAGCCCACAATACAAAATAAGATAAACATGATAATAATTAAATAATTAATAATTAAATAATAATAAAAAACTATATAGTAAAAATAAAATGAAATATATAAAATAAAATTAAAGTCACTCTGTTCAATACATCAGATTTTAAACATATTAGTGTTCTTTAATAGTTGGTCACAATTTGGACTCTTCAATTTATTATTCCTGCCTGTGGTGCTCACTCATTCATTTTTTGTATGAATGGAAATGTATTTTAGTCCAAACTTTTTCATTCAATTGATGTATATGATTTTATTACAGTGAGTGGAAATCAAGCGACTCAGCCAATGTCCACATATGTATATCCACATCAAGAAGCACAGGTATTTAATACAAATTTCTATCCAACTTTTTTCTCCATAAAACCATCTATACAACCGGTACTTAGCAATCATGAATTGCTAGATTGCATTTTATCATTAGATATTGAAAAAAAAATATCCCTGAAATCAACGTCAATTTTATATCAGGAAACCAAATATATATTAAGAGTACTGGTAGCTTTGTTGGGTCCAAGTTTAAAGACTGACAGTAGAATGTGTCTTAGTTTGTTCCCATTGATGTGAATTGTAAATCTGAAAGAACTTGGAAGGTGACCAATCCAAAATATTTCTTTTTTTCACTTTTGACACTACATGCAATAAGAGATGCTATGTTCATACTTGCTACATGGAAAATATCATGTTGATCAGTTAAAGCATTCATTAAACTGATTCGAAGAAATTCTCAAATCAAAAATGGTGGCCAAACCATGTGACTGATCAAGATAATTTATATTTTTCTCATAAGAAGCTTTGTCGATAATCAAAGATGGCGGCAAAGTCATGTCAGCTGTCTGGATGACTTCATTTGGGAAATTCAACTTAGCAAATTAGATAACTGGCATCAGTAAAAAAAAAATCCAAAATAATGACCAAACCTCATGACCAATCCTCCCATACAATTTAAAACTTGAATGTAGTGCTTTATATGTGGATGCTAAAAACTTAATTTCAGATCAATGTGTTCAGTGGTTCTGAAAAAGATTTTCAAGCAATTTTTTGCTGTTAAAAAAATGGTGGAAAAATTCACATTACTGATAAAAAAAATGTTCTCTCTCAGATATATTGCACATGAACTGTAGTGAATGCAACAAAAATTCAGATCCCCTTGACCCTCAGAATGTTTCCAAATCATCACTATCTGTTCAATTTCAATCCAATATGGTTGCCAAACCAGTGGACCATTCAAAATCGTCAGGTGTACCAGTTCACATTGGCCCCTAATAGCATGGGAATTTTGAAAAAAGTGAGTACTGTACAGATACAGTTTTAGATTTAATACATCACAGATCTTTTGGATCAGCATATATTGTTTGACTAGTCATTCATTCTGAGAAGTTGGGATAAGGTAGATTATTTTCGTCAATAGTCTCCATTTGCATAAGTGTATTCTTAAAAGTTTGAGCATGAGAAAACTACCTTATGTTAAAAGATGACTGGGGAGAACAATATTACTTTGAACATTCAGTCTCATATTTGTTCTTAAATTAAATTCAGAATATGGAGCATTTTGAGATTTTAACAAAAATTTTAATTAATATTTTATAACATAGTTCAGAATTCCAGCTGTGTTATGTTTTGGTGCTTGTATTGTTCTACTTGTTATATATGAGTCTCAAATCTCTGAGTTATAATAAGTTTTAAAATTTTCTTCAAAGGGTCCAGCTCAACCACACCAAGGTGCATCTTCACTGGCTGGACAGCGTCAACTTTCAGGTATGCAAATTCAATATTCATTACTATTTTACAAAATAGAAATACAATTAATGTCATATATACCTCTATATTTGTATATCAAGATGTTGAAAAAGTCGCTGAGATTAGTCAGTTCCCCTCCAATACTAACTAATTAGCTATCGCATATATATATGATATACCATGGTTAAGTGACTAGCAAATATTGATACTTAAAGCAGTAACATTAAAAAAGTGCCTTACATACAATTGATAAATTAATTTGTGCACCAATTAATTTTATAAAAACTATTCATTAATTCACGGTGTTCAAAGAACATTTAAATTTGTATTTTTTTTTAATTCTCGGAAACTGAAATCATAATTATCAAGCAAAAAAAAACTTGTTACATTTCTTGATGTGTTATGTTACATCTCTGGTGATCCCAACCAGAGATCACAAATCATAAATGGAATTATAAAGACATGTGCCAAGAAAATAAGTGCTTTAAAGCAATGTATACTAAGATCATAATATTTACTCAGTTAATACGAATAGAATTAGAAAGCATCGCCCTCAGCTTGATGCCATGTTCATAAAAAAAAAATGATTTTTTTTTCCATGATTTGACCAGCAACAAACTTCTCCTCTTGACCTCTCTATGCCATAGAGGGCAGCATACATGTCCAGTTTACCTAATTAAAGTTAAAATACCTTGGTAGGATATTTATTTGGTAATACACTCATTTTGTACATATACTATATTTGTAGTTTTGTCAAACATTTAATTGAAATATTTCAGGTGTTACCACTCATCCTACACAAGTTCAAGAACAACAACAACAACAGCATCAGCAGGTAACCCTTTATTTTCCCCAAATGTATGCATTTTTCCATCTGTCCATCTGGCCATGCATTCAGTCCCCATCTCTGACATGCTTGGACCAATCCACAACAAAATCGTTTGCTTAATCACATTTCACAAGTCAACACAACGGAGCTGTTCATATTACTAATTTCCGTCGTCGTCAACTTTACAATTTCAACTTCTTCTTTGAAACTGCAAGTCAGAATGTTTTAAAATTTGATATGCAAGTACCTTGGATGGTTCTTTCTCAGATTTGTTCATTTTATGTCAAAATCTCCAATTCTCTATTTTTAGTGAATATTTTTGTAATTTTTGGTAAAAAGTGATATTTTCGACTTTTTGTTCAAAACCACAAGTGCAATTGCTTTGATATTACATATATCAATCAATCAATCAAATATTTTATTTTACCTAATAATGTACACTTGTAGTTTACAAAACAAGAATCAATTATAAATAGAATAATAATAATAATAATAATAATAATTATTATTCAATTAATTTTTCTTTCATTTTTAACTTAAATGATTTCCTTGAGGTAATGTCTTTTATATTCTGTGGTAGCTGGTTCCATAGCTTGGAGACAGTATTTTTAATAGAACATTGACCTACATTAATACGGTACTTTGGAATTATTAAATTTCCTTTGGTTTGAACCTCGGAAGGTTGGTTTTGGGTACATGCTGAAAGGGATGGGATATAGGTACTACCTGTTGACCTCTTACAGATTTGTTCATTTTTTTTGATGATATTTTTAATTCTCTAATTTTGGTGAATATTTTTGTAATTGTTGGTAAAAAGTGATATTTTCCACTTCTTTTAACAAATTATATTATACAACACGTATACTTCTGATAATTACTATATGCTCAGAGTAAAGCTTACATTAAATAAACAAAGCCTACAATATGCCAGCAACAAAACGATGGAATTCATTGAGGAATTTCATGTCACTTCTTACTTGAATCATTATCGCATATCGCACAAGTTGCATATCCTTATTATGTAAATGATTAGTATGTTCTATGAACCCTGTACCCAGTATGATTTAGGTAGCTTGTAATCGATTTACTGTTAAAGTAATTTTTTTTCCCAGATTCCACAGGCTGTATATGCTGTACCTAACCAACAAGGAGTACCGGTACTGATGTACCCACCTGAATATGGAGGTAAGATATCAAAAGTTGCTATCTATGGTTGTCAAGTACCGTAGTATGCACAGTGTCCTCCCCGGGATTTGCATAAAAATTTGCATAATTTATTTATAATATTTGTACATTTTTTTTCACTTCCATAAACTTTGTATACACTGTACTTGTTCAAAAGTCTATTTGTTAATTTGTGTCTTGAATTATTGTTATGTATTTGTAAATTTATACTTCTCAAGGAGGCTACCTCATACATGGGCTGTTGTGCTGCAGTCGTTGTCTACACCCTTTTAGTCCTTGTCTTTGTGTGTCTTAATTCAGCAAGCTCTCTACGAGCTGCACTATGCATCACTTTTCAGTTGTCAAGGTAGACACTGTTGCTAATCACAGTGTCTTCAGGCCAGGTGCATGTGCTCTGATATTGCCGGAAGCACACACTGGTGTTAGCGGTACTCCGGCTCAATTCACCTGCCTTACAGAGGGCAATAATCAGGGTAATGGAAGTCGCATAAAACTTAATATTACTCATAAGACCCCTCTTCTGACAGCACCACTTATCGCAGACTTGTACAAACAGTGACGCTTTCTACTGGGCTTTCTGTTTCCAGTTAGGCTTAGGTATTTACCAGGACAATCGCAGGTAGCTTGCCTGTTTCCTGGGCTTCCTCATCTTTAATAGTTGAGTTTTCTGTTATTGTAAACATTGGAGTTCTGTTTACTGCCTTCATTTTCATTTGGACATCGTTGTTCAATTTATGTCTGTTCACCTAAAGAATAATAATGTATCTCATGTCTACCCAGTTGTATGTAGAGCTATAAAGTGTTTGTATTGAACTCACACTTTCTTTCTATTGGGGTACGTGGTCAACTACGGTGTCTGCAGCTACACTTCTTAAATTTAGACTCTACCAACTCTACTTTGTCTAACTTAGAAAAATATCTAACTTAATAAAAAGCGATAGTAATTGGTTTGATGACATAAACTAGGTGAGCTGCTCCAGCTTGCCCACTTGTTTAAATTCACTTCAATTACTTACTAATACCTCTGGTATGTACACTTACCACCCAACTTCCCAGGCACGGGTACAACACCTGTGGGGAGCTGCTGTGCTTCAGCATGGAAAATTGGAGCAAACTGAATATTTTACCGGTATAATTCTGCACTTGGTGGATGATACCATTATTTTTAATCCTGAGGGTCATCTGGCTGGTAGTTGTAAGCCCCACATTGAGCTGAAATTAAATATCACCTACATAATCACCGATGTAACAGTAATATTCTTTTATGCAGGTCCACAACATTTCTATCAAATCCAAAATTGTCAGGGTTTTCAAGTTAATCTTGGTCAAGGTGGGAGGCCACCACATATAGTATCTCAGCCACAACAGCAGCAAATAACATTACAAGGTATGTACAACATTTACACAAATAGATAAAATGGATCACACTTATATATGAACAAAATATTTGGCAGAATTAATATTGAGTAAATTTTATATACTTGTTTTCGTGTGATTGCTTGTCTGCCTAGCAAGAGAGAATTTGTATGATCAACACTCATGAGAGGCTGTCCATTATACTGTAAAACATGTCTTTTTAGCTAGCACGTTATTTTAGCTAATTTAGCTAATCCTCAATTATAGCTAAATTGAGATGTCGCTAATTAGAATAGAGTATAATCTCAGAGTAAGATTATTGGCACTAAATTAAGATTCAGTTAATTTTTGCATTTAATCAAATTCGCTAAAATGGCATGTAGCTATTTCAAAGTGTTTTACAGTATGTCCACCTATAACCTATAACCTATACCTTATATTGTAAGCTACATAAATTGTAACATTGCTTTTGTAAATCAGACCTTGCATCTTGACTGTGTAGTTTTACTCAAAGCACAACATCTGAAGTCAGTGTTAAAATAGAGTTCGTTCTCAACTATTAAAAAAGTAAGCAAAGGGAAGGGTTCAAACCCAATTCTTCAATCACAGCAAGTATAAGTCTCTAGATTTCCGATTGGGGCCTTGGGAAAAAATACAGGCATTAGAAGGGTAATTTCAATGTCAAGTGCATGCAAATAAGCAAATGACAAAGCCTACAATACATCTTTTGTATTTATGCAACTAGCAATTTGAATTTTTCTATTTCATCATGTTATATTTGCAGTATTCATACTTAAGGTAGTGAGACTATTATTTGTGTTGAAAATTACGATTTTCACATTTATTTATCAATTGATGAAATGCACTATAAACTTTCATATGATAAAGTCAACATGACATAGAATGTCATGTAAGTTGGTTAAAATGTAGATTTTCTGAAGGAAAGCAAGGCAGCCTCAGTAGTGTTTTCCAAAATCAACAACACAGGTTTAATCTGTGTGCCTATAAGTTTCAAAGATAAACTCAAGACAAAGCAATGTTAGGATGTGTTATCAGTAGCTATCTGACACACAATGAGTGTTTCCAAACATTTGAGTGCTTTGTCTCCGCCCCTGTTTGTTTCACAAATTAGTCATTTGCATATGAATGTGTCAGACACAAGGTCACACAGCCACTGAAAAAAATCATTGA